CGACGACCAACTTAGAGTCGCACTTGACGTGGATTTGTCGGGCCTTCATGTTAGCTGCCAGCCGAAGGCCACAGAGGAGAGCCTCGTATTCGGCTTCATTGTTGGAGACTTTGAAGGAGAAACGGATTGCATAATAGGCCCGGAAGCCCTCGGGTGAGATGAGAACCACCCCTCCTCCGCATGCCTTGATGGCGGAGGAGCCGTCGGTGTAGAGGGTCCACCAGTCATCTGAAGGGGCCGAGGGCTCCTCGTCCGTGGCTGCCCTTGCCGTACACTCCGTCACAAAGTCCGCTAGGGCTTGGCCCTTGATGGCGGGCCTAGGACGGATGTCGATGTTGTATTGGCTCAAGAAGACAGCCCATTTTACCATTCGGGAGGAGCTAGTGGGGCTCCTCATCAAGGCGCCGAGGGGTTGGTGAGTGAGGACCTGGACCGGGTGAGCCTGGAAGTAATGGCCCAATTTCTTGACGGTCCACACGATAGCCAACACCGTTTTTTCCACGGGGGAGTACCGGAGCTCCGCTTCCCTGAGGGTCTTGCTAACATAGAAGATGGCATGTTGGATGCCATCCTCTTCCCGGATGAGTACAGAGCTGATGGCAGCCGGGCTAACACCCAAGTAGAGGTACGGGATTTCCCCTACCTTGGGTTTAGAGAGCACAGGGGGTGAAGATAAGTATGGTTTCAGCTCCTCGAATGCCCCCTGACACTCCGAAGTCCATTGGAAACTGGCGGTTTTCCTCATGATCTGGAAGAAGGGTAAGGACTTCTCCGCCGATTTTGATAAGAAGCGGTTGAGGGCTGTCAGGCGGCCCGTCAACCGTTGGACCTCCTTCACATTTTGTGGGGGCTCCATGTTGATGATGTCCTGGATTTTCTCGGGGTTGGCCTCAATACCCCGTCGGCTAACCATGTAGCCCAGGAATTTTCCCCCTGGACGCCGAAGGTGCACTTCTTCGGGTTCAGCCGAAGGCTAAACTTCTGCATGATGGCGAAGATCTCCCTCAGGTCGTCAGCATGGTTTGCCGACTGCTTGCTTTTGACGATCATATCGTCAACATATGCCTCCATGGTGCGCCCCAGGACAGCTTGAAATACCCCTGCCACCATCCGAGTGTAGGTGGTGCCTGAGTTCTTCAGGCTGAAGGCCATGACAAGGTAGCAGAAGATGCCCTCGGGAGTCATGAAGGCTGTTTTTTCAGCGTCCTCCTCATGCATGTATATTTGATGATATCCGCGGAATGCGTCAAGGAATGACATGATTTCACACCCCGCGGTTTCATCCACCAGTTGATCAATATTGGGCAGAGGAAAGGGGTCCATGAGACACGCCTTATTGAGATCCGTGTAGTCCACGCACATTCGGAATGAGGGAGGTTTTTGTGCGAGGACTACGTTTGCCAGCCATGAGGGGTACTTGACCTCCTTGATGTGTTTGATAGAAAGGAGCATGGCGATCTCCTTCCTCACGAATTCCCTCCTCTCGGCCGAGAGGGGTCTCCTCCGTTGCTGTACTGGTTTGGCCGAAGGTTCCACCGAGAGGCGGTGGGTAATGACCCTTCGGCTGATCCCCGGCATGTCCTCCGGCCCCCATGCAAAAACACTGGAGTAGGCTCGGAGGGTGCTGATGATGCCGGTCTTCAAATCTTCGGGGAGCTTGGCTCCAATCTTCACGACTCTCTCCGGCTTGGCCGGATTGAGCGCGAAGTCTTCTACCTCCTCGGCTGGTTTAGCCCTCGGCCTCATTTCTTCCGCTTCCACAGTTCCGGTGATGGTGTCAACGCGGAACTCCGTCTTGCTAACCTTCTTTGTAACTTGAAGGTAGCAAGCGCGGGCGAGCTTTTGGTTTCCCCTCGAGTAACCAATCCCCCCTTCGGCTGGGAACTTGAGGCAGAGGTGCCTCATGGAGATGACGGCCTCGAGATCCTCGAGGGCTGGCCGGCCGAGGATGATGTTGTGGGCGCAGTCGATGTTGACGACGACGAACTCCACTTCGAGCTTGGCTCTATGGAGGCCGTCGCCGAAGATGACCGGGAGGGTTATGACCCCCTCGGAATCAATGGTGTCGCCGGTGAAGCCGGCAAGAGGGGTCTTGATGGGCCGAAGGGACCCACTCTCCAGATGCAGCTCTCTGAAGGTGCTGAGGTACATTACATTGATGGAGCTGCCCGTGTCAATGTAAGTTCTGTGAATAATGGTGTCGTTGATCTCTGTGCGGATGACGAGGGCATCCCTTTTGGGGGAGGATACTGGGGGGAGATCAGCGTTGGTGAAGATAATGGGTTCCTCCCTCAGCCGCTTTACCGGGGGCATATGAGTGACTTCCCCCACGTAAAGTGATTGAGCCCACTTCCTTCGTTGACTTGTGGAGTCACCCCCGGTATTTCCCCCCGTAATCATGAGGATGTGGCGTTTCTTTTCTTGATACTGGGGGTACTTTTCCTCCTCCTCCTCCAGATTTCCAATCTCCCTCTTCTTGCTGAGGGGGATGGTGTTGGGGTTGACCCATGCATTCCCTCTCGCAGTTTGCCCTCGGGATGGCCCCTGATGAGGGGGGGCTTGTTGCTGAGGGCCCTGGACAAACTGGGACAGATGGCCCGCTTGTATCAATTTCTCGATGGCCGTCTTCAGCTGATGGCAATCATCGGTCCTGTGCCCCTGGTGTCGGTGGAAATGACAGTAGGGGTAGTTTGGATTGATGGTGAATACCTCTGAGGGCGCGCGTGAATCGCGCTCCACGAGGCCCCTTTCTTCAGCAAAATCAAGAATAACGTTGACGGGATGCGTCAATGGTGTCCGAGGGTGCTCCAGGAGGACAGGTTGTGCCCAAGCCCTCGGGTTCCCTTTGAAACCTCCCCTGGGCTTGGCTTGGCCGTGCCGGGGGCGATCTCCGGAGGGGGCAGGATCCCTGGGATGACTGCGGGGAGCCCCCGGCCCTCGGTTACCTTTGTCTTCTGGCCGAGGGCGTTGCTGGTCTGGGACATGGTGGCATTTCTCCACCTCCTCGGCCTCGGCGTATCAGTCCCCCCACTGTAGGGCCCTTATATAATCGCGGGGGGGTTCGATGATGAGGCTTCTGGAGAAGTTCCCAGGGTAGAGTACTGTTTGGAGGAGGGCCAGGAGGGTCCCGTGGTCAGCGCCATCAACTTTATCAGCCTCTGTCCTCCAGCGTTCCAGGAAGTCCCGAAGGGTCTCCTCCTTCTGCCTCACTGTTAGTAGGTGGGAGAAGTGTTTCCTTGTGCGGCACCTCCCCGCAAATTGCGTCAAGAATCGCTGGGCGAGTTCTTGCCATGAGTCAATACAGCCCTCGGGCAATCGGTTGAACCATTCGTAAGCTGGCCCCTCTAGGGTGGAGAGGAACCAGCGGCACAAATATTCATCCGATGCCCCCACCATCATCATGCTGTTTTGATACCTGCTGTAGTGCTCTTGGGGGTCAGTCTTTCCGTCATAGGGCTTGATGAGCTGCCCTCGGTATTTCTCCGGGATCCGGGCCGCCAATACCCTTGGGGTAAATGGCATTCGGGTCCGGAGCTGTATGGTGGGTTCTCCGGAGCCCTCGGCTATCTTCTCCTGCATTTCTTCCATCTTTGCCATCATCGCCTCATACTTGAGGTCTGTATGAGGGGCGGAAGTGGTGGCGTGGGCTTTGGTGGCCTCCATCTTGTCAAGCCGGCGCTGGAGGGCCGCAATGATTTCGTCTCGGGGGTCCTTCTGGAGGGCCTCTGCCCCCTGCGAATGGACCCGGGCCGAGTGGGCTTGATTGATTTGATGGCGTGCGTCGTCGGCATGGAGAGGTGCCTTGCCCTTGTCCTGAGGGGGACGTCTCTCATTGGCCCTAGAAACGGACCCGCCACTTTCCTGAGGCCTTTGGAATGCCCTCCCCCCGAGGCGGTCTTGGACCCCTCGGCGGTCTTGCGCCCCTCCGAGCCTCTCGAGGGCGGAGGTCCGGGGGTGCTCCTTGTTCACGTCGTGGCGGTCCCGGGACTGGACTTCCTGGGAGGCCGTATCTTAGGCCACGACCCCCTCGGAGTTCCCCATCCGGAGGACCGGGTTACCGAGGGGTCGTGGATGAGGGGGAGGCAGAATATTCTCCCCAACCTGAGGCTGGTGGGGAACCAAAGTGCCGAAGGCACCCGGGTTCTGAATGAGCGTCTGGATGAAGGCAAAGAGCGCCGATTGAACGTCGATGGTGATGACCGGAGGGCTAATTTGATTTTCGCTCCGGTCCTTTTTCTTGGCCTCGATGTCGAGGCGGGCATCAGGGGCATTTTGCTGAATCTGCTGGCGTAGGTCGACAGCCGTCTGGTCCATCCCGGCGATGACGCCGCCCCCGGGAGCCCTGTTGGAGGCTTCGGGGACGTCGACCTCGCCGAGGGCCCGGTTCCTGTCCTCTACATTCTTGGAGTTGGCACGAGTTGTTCTCACCATTTTAGATTGGTGTTTTTGTGTTTGGTCGATGGGGAGGGTTTCTTACTTGATTGTTCGACCTCTCAACGAGAGCACCAAATGATGGATAGTGTACCCGGGGGGTAGCTTATCCGAGGGGTTATTACGGAGAATAGTAAGAGAGGAGTCAGAGCAAGTAAATATAGAGAGAGAAAGTATATTGTAAAGTGTGGAGCGTTTTCAGCGTGGTTACAAATGGGGAAATGGAGTGCTATTTATAGTAGCAATAAATGCCGGACAGGGACACGTGTCAAGCGTCCATTGGCCGAGAGGTCACCTCAACTGGTTGGCGTTGGCAACCGCATGTGGCCGCATTTAATGCGGCTGTTGGATGGGACGTTGTACAGGGTACGATGATCTGTACGCATGTGGCGCGGATATTATGTCGGGAGAGGTGCCCTCGGCTGTAGAGGACTAGCCGAGGGCTCTGAGTATCGGGGACCCCCTTGGTGCCGAGGGCTCCATTTTTTATCAACATGTGATTGAAAAAAAACAATCTACTAAATTACAAATAGGAAAAGAACATCAAATATCTGTACCACTGAGAATACCACACAAAGAATATAACTCTTCATGACCATTGAAAAATATATTGTCCCCACCATGCTGCCAATGAAACTGACTGTAAACGGAAGCCTCTGAAAATGAAAGATTAAAAAAAGTAAGACAATACCTGCAGAGATTTTGTATTAGAGAGAAAAAAGAAACTACGAAAGTAAACACTCCCATAAGCTTAACATTAATAACGGGAATGATCATCTTCTAAATCTAGCTATGTTACCTCCTTTGATAGCATGTGTGAAAGTTGATTTTTTGGACCTTTGGAGGGCAAAGAATGAGCCAATAATGAAAGAGCACCCAATAGTAAAGCCAATAGCAAACTTTTGAGGCATTATGACCATGACAGGAAGAAACATGGTGAAAGCCAAGAAGATGAAAAATACTCCAGCGCCAAGGAATAGCTCAAAGTACATAAGAGCCTTTCCGGAAGGAACATTACTCGTGGCAGACGGAGAGTTCCCTGGTAAATCTCCAACTCCTTGAGAGACCCTATGTACAAAATAACATACAAGAAAATGAATAAATAAATAAATAAATGTTGCTATTGAATAGCATTAATGATTGTATGATCTCAGCCTTCTATGTAAATCTTAAAATGTTAACTATTAGCTCTGGTTTAGCCGTTTAGGTTTACATTCACTAAGCATGTTTAAATTTGCTTTATATTCTTCCTTTGTGTGAAACAAATTTCCTTTATCAAAGGATATTGCTCCTTGAGTGTAAGGGTGTATCAAAATTACCAACCATCTTAGCGTCTTGGTCATCATCACCAGTCTCTTCACCGCACTAAAAAAAACACTCCAAATGGAATCTCAGTCTGCAAATCTAGCTATGGACGTAGTAATGGGAAGGCACTCTTGTTCACACGAATTGAAGTGGTGAACCCATCTTTGCTTGATTGGGATGAAGTCAATCATAAAGCTAGACTCTTTCACACAATAAATGAGAGATTGTGTATGTAAGGGGTTTCAACGAAATAAATGAATTAGAGCAGAGATGAAAGAGCAGAGGATGCTCTTTTAAGAGTCTAGTTATAGAAGACATGTGCCACTCCAAGCAAAGAAACGAGGGAGAGAAGACACAAAGAGAGCCGAGATTCAGACTAACCTTAAATCGTTGGGTGAAGGTCCCCTGAATCTTAGGAGAGATCCACACACACCATAGGCTTCCGATTCACCGTCGAAATCCAGATTCATGGAAGAAAGAGGACATTTTTGGCGAGCATCTGTGTTCAGTGGTATGATTCATCTGACCATCACAATCCGTCGTAGATGTCCAGATTAAGTCGCTCAGTTGATAAGTCCATTTTTGTACTTATTTTTCTTATCAATTTTAAGCAATTTTGGATTGGAAAATAGAAAAACAAGGCATGTTTTATATATTTTGGTTCAAGTTTCATGAAATCAGGTAAAAATCACGTCCATGATATGTTTGACGAAATTTCGGGTCAATTAAGCACAAAATGCGTCACTTTGAGTGAAAAAAAATTTCATACCGAAAGAAGCAAGCAGAATTTCAAAGTGGTCTAGAAGGGAAAGTTGAAGAGCATAAAATACAGAACAAGATGGTCAAATAAACTCAAAGGCGGCCTGGCAGGCGGCCAAAAAATGGAGGCCTTCTCGGCCGCCTGCCGTTTTTTTTTTGAAAAATCAATTTTTTGGAAATTTGACCGAACCGGAGAAAAACGGAAGGCGACCGACACTGGACGGAAGGCGGCCGCCTTCTATGACCGCCTGCGGCACAAAACGATGAAACGAACAACCGGTCGGTGCGATGTGACGGCAGGCGGCTGGAGCAAGGCGGCAGGCGGCCGCCTGTTTGGAGGCCTGCGAGATTTTTGGTGCTATAAATAGCCCGATTTTTGCTGAACTCAAATACACCATTCTTAGCCCGAAACTAGTTCAAAAAGGTCTTCTCCTTCCTCTTCAAAGCTCGGATTTCCACCATTGTTGCACCTTCAACTTCAATCTTTCATATCTTTTTCATTTTAGCTCCAATTTGTAAGTTCTTTATATGTATTTTCATCTTCTCAACGAGTAGAATCTGAATCTGTGCTTTGTTTTCTCGATCTGTTCTTCGAATTTTTCCAGAATATTTATCAAGTATTTCGCATTTTCTTCCAAAAATTAAATAAAATAGTTGTTGATGTTGAATTCATTCCAATTAATTATATAGTTGTTTAATAGCCTCAATGTTGTTATTTATCTAAAGAAAGTTAATTTTTCCGAAGCAGAAGTAATTTTTAATTAATTTCAATAATTAGTTGTTATTATTGCATAAATTAAATTAATTACTTAAAAAGAGTAAAAAAATAGTTTCGGCCCTAATTCCAGTTTATTTCACTGTAATATCACTTCCAGTAGTCAATAGAAAATTTAGAACGAATTTAACCTATTTTTAATTTCCTTTTGTATTTTATAGTTAAAAGTGGAAAAATTATCACTTAGGGTTAAAATTGGATTTTAGGTTTAAAAATTCGTGGAAAATTCCAAAAAGTCATATTGTAGTTCCAGAAAGTTTATTTTGACAAGATCTTATTTTTGATTAATTGTTGCTATTATACATGTTTAATTCCTTGTTAATGGTTAATTTATTTACCATATTGTTAAATGCGAAAACAATGTTTAGTAGCTAAAATTGTTTTGGGCATGAATTGAGTAAAAGAATATGGATTGACTTGTTAGCCTAAAATTAGGGGTTAAAATTAATTAATTGGGCTAGTTATTCAAATTGATGAATTAGTAATTAATAATTGTTAGCCATTTTCATTAATTAAATTTTGGAAAATTATTTCTAACTTGTCTATGAGATTAGAAAATAATTTGAGCCAACTTTATTCAAGCACATTAATAAGACCTAGAAATAGGATATTTTAATGAAAGGGATTTACATCTTGTCTATGATAAATAAATTCAAATTGCTTAAATAATGAGTTTAATTAGTTAATGAATTTGGCTATTTTTATTAATTAAAATATTGGAGAATTATTTCTGTCTTGTCTATGAGATTAGAATTTAATTCAAGCCAACCATTTTTGAATGCATTAATGAAACCTAGAAATAGGATAAATTAATGAAAGTAATTTCTATTCTTGTCTATGAGAAAACAAATTATTAGTCCAATTGTTGTTTTAATTCCCCTAATTACTAGGTCCAAGAATATATCTATTTCTAATTATTCAATTCATTGCCCTTCTTTGATCAATACATTTAGAGTTTAATATTTTTCATTTAGTTTATTTTTGATCCATCATTAGATTTGCATAATTTAATTACTTTATTTTTCAAAAAACTAGTTTAGAAAATCAATCAAAAGTTTTAATTCGGAAAGCTTCCAATAATTTGCGATAACCTGTGACTGAGCTTAAAATTAAGAAAACTCATCCGCCATTCCTCAAGAGTCAAGAGACACGATACTCGGGGAAAAACCGAAAGGTTAGACTCCGTTTTACTACAACGCCGCGAAAGCGGTTATCAAATGGCGCCGTTGCCGGGGAATGGCACGGTGAATTCTTGATTTTGATTTTAGCATGGGCGAATTCAAGTTAGGGAGACTTTCTATTTCTTTTTTGTTTTGTTCTCACGTATTTTCTTGAGATTTTCTCATGGATTACTCAAGCGAACACTTTCATTCTCATCCACCATATCACTATCCATATAATGAACAACAAGTTTTCCAAAATAATCAAAATGAAGGATATTATGAGCAAGGTTATGAGGATAACAATCAATGGTGCGAAAATCCACCTTTGGGGTATGGAGATTACCAATTTCAAGATAACTATTTCCACCAAGGGCAAAACTTTGAACGCCATGATGATTTTTCCTATCAAGGTAATTATCATGATAATTTTAATTATTATGAAAATTACCACGAAGGGCTAGAAAATCATCACACTGGCACAAACGAGTACTCCTACGAGGTTGACTCTGGAATTTCACCTTATCCTGGACACGAGCTCGAAAAATTAAAATCATCCTTGCTCGAGTTTGTGGAAGAATTAAAAAGCGCAAGGATTGAACTAGCATCTCGTGACGAGAGTATCAAGAAATTGTGTGAACAAATCATTTATGATAATGAACACAAATTTCAAAAGGAGACATACGAGAAAGGTGTTAATTCTGAGGAGGAGGCAGCGGTAACTATGGGCGAGACGGTTCATACTCTTTGCACCCCTATTTCTTTTGAGCCTCTCATTGCTACTGAGCTAGAGTCTGTCCTCATAGAGACCATAGATGTCCTCACAGTGGGCACTATGAGGACAGACTCAAACTCATTCTCGAAGTGCCCACTGAAATTGATGAAGAGACCATAGATGAGGAGATACATTGTGACACCGGCCCTACCCTACCATCTATGGATGATCTCTCACCTGAAGAGTCCTTGAAGGATAGCCTTAATGAAGATGTTCATCGTACACAAGCCCAAATACCTGTTGAAGTTGTTATTGAAACGTGTGATTTGGAGGAAACATTCTTCGATGACGCCTTCTTTGACTCTCTACTCAATGATGACGAACATAGTTGTTCTAGGCAAGGATCTGTTTGCCTAGATGATATATGTGAGGTTAGTGAGTTAGGAAGTTGGGATGCATTGTTAGAGAGTGACACAGAATCTAAACTTTGCGATTTTCATGTTGAGGGCATAAATGAAGAAGAGAAAACTCATCAAGAGGAGTATCAAATCTCTAGTCACGCTACTTTTACCTTGATGACTCCATTTGAGCGGTTGGAGAAACCAGAGGCACCTGATCCTGAAATACTTGTTGATTCTACTAATGAGAGTGATGCAGGATATGTGCTAATTTCTTGTTCGAACGACGTGTTCTTTGAAGATTATCTCACATTTTGGTGGTCACGAGAGTTCGAAGGTCTACGCCATCTGACGGCATACCTGGAGGATAAGGTGGAGGCACTAATAATGAGTGCTCCACGACTGACTTGCATTACAGAAAGTTCTCTCTCAAACGTCAAGCTAGTGACGTTAAAGAAGCGCTTCTTGGGAGGCAACCCAGGTTTTTCATAACTTTGTTTGTTTGTTTTGTGTGATTGCAGGTGGTGCTTCAATAAATAAATTGTGAGTTGAACGCTTTGACCCGATTTCAAAAAAAAAAACTGATCATTGATGATATTTTTAAAACAATTTTATTCCTGTTTTCATTATTCCTCTTCACAAAATCTTTTCAAAACTCAAGTGTGAGGAAAGAACAAAAAAAAATGTGCCTTTATTTCTAAAACTTTGTGCATTAAAATGAGACCTCAAGGATGAGGTCCAGCTCAAGTGTGAGGAGGTTGTGTTTTACACTCAAATAGTTAAAACCTTGTTTTAGATCAATCTTTTTACTATTTTTGATATGAAACATTCACCTCTCAATTGTTATCAATCACATAATAGCTTAGAGGATCACCCTTATTATAAGAAATTACTTTTATTATTATTTTTAGAAAACTTGAAATTGTTATGGGTTTTGGTTGCGAATGTAAAGGGCTAATTCTTGTTTTAATAGGACATTCATTTTATTCATAAAAAAACTATTAGTATTAATAAATCTCTTCAAAACTCATTGTTAAAGGACAATTCCATCTCCGAAAAGGGGCTCTGTTTCATACGTTAATCATAGTCTGTGAGAATGAAATATGCATCTACCATGGGATAACACCGCCAACAAGAGTGGACAAGAGGCAAAAAAAACATAATTTGTGAATAAGATAAATGTCCAAATTAGAATAATGAAAACCTTGGGATAAGGTATTGATTGGTGGTTTAACCTAATCAATAGTTGTTATAAAGTAATAATAATTTTAAATTCTTGTATTTTGGGTGTTTTTTCTAAACTGTTTAAAAATTGAAAATAAAATAAGGGGTTTTTGTTTCTATTTCTATAATAGCAACTCGATTGTAATACAATAAGTTTTTACCTTTCTGAGTGTGTTTGCAACTGATTCGTCGCTTGGGGACAAGCAACGCTTAAGTGTGAGGAGATTGATAAGTCCATTTTTGTACTTATTTTTCTTATCAATTTTAAGCAATTTTGGATTGGAAAATAGAAAAACAAGGCATGTTTTATATATTTTGGTTCAAGTTTCATGAAATCAGGTAAAAATCACGTCCATGATATGTTTGACGAAATTTTGGGTCAATTAAGCACAAAATGCGTCACTTTGAGTGAAAAATGATTTCATACCGAAAGAAGCAAGCAGAATTTCAAAGTGGTCCAGAAGGGAAAGTTGAAGAGCACAAAATACAGAATAAGATGGTCAAATAAACTCAAAGGCGGCCTTGGCAGGCGGCCAAAAAATGGAGGCCTTCGCGGCCGCCTACCGTTTTTTTTTTGAAAAATCAATTTTTTGGAAATTTGACCGAACC